CATTTTAAAAAAGGATTTAGGGAGAATCTTTCTATTTTGCTTTGTTGTTGTTGCTGTATAGTCCAGTTTATTGTCCACAATTCCATTAAAGTCTCCCATCATAATTATATTGGCATAGTCCAGTCCAGTTATTTTCATGTGTAATTTTTTATAGAATTCTTCTTGTTTATCATTCGGAGCATAAATTGCAATCAAGAGTATTTTTATATTATTGTCCATTATTTACGCCATTAATACTCTTCTATCTTCATCAGTGTAAATCAATTTTGCTGGGGTAGCCTCTTTAATGTATAAAACCACTCTTTTCTTACATTGAGTCAAAGAAGTAAATATTTTCCCTAATTTTGGCTGTATTAACAATTGTTCATGTTGTTTTTTAATGTGTACTTCTTGTAAACAAATTATATCAAACTTTAATTTCCCTAATTTATGAAAAAATTTCCTTCTTTTAACAGCTGAATTAAGTCTATTTATATTCATTGTAATCAGTTTTTTCTCTTCCATGATTATATTTTGTAGTTAGGTTTGACAGCTCTTGTAGATCTTGGTTCACGTTGTTCTTTGATATCCACCTGTCCACCTATTGCGCCTTCTTCTTTTTCAGTCCCCATTTGTTCCTTTTGGAATTCAATTAATGAGACCTCTTTTTCTGCCTCTTCCTCTCTCCTTCTGAAAAATTCTGCGTAAAAAAGTTCTGCTTTCTCAATTGAATCAATTCTGTGTCTCTGTTCTTGCCACGTGAACATTAAACCTTCTGGAATCAGCCATCTATAATTCACCTCCTTTTTCAGTAGCATTTTGGTCAAGAATTGATATTCTCTTCTCATCTCTCTCACTCTTCTGGGTATTTGTTTTAAAACGACAATCTCTTTGTCTTTGAAATTCAACGTCTTCTCTCTTGCCGCTTGTAATATTTGTGTTTTGATGGATTTTTTGGTAAATCTGATGTGGACTTCTCTTGGTAAATTATTTCTCATCGCATATCTTATGAAAACTCGGTATACCTCATCTACTCCATCCATCATCTTTTCCTCTGTTATTTCCAAAGCATCAGCCAGAATTTCTATCATTATCACAGCCAAATTTTGTCCTTTTTCTTCCTCTTCCTATGTTTTGAAATTTGAGATAGAATTCTGACCTCTCCATCTCCCACTTCAGCATCCCACTTTTATCTTGTTCAACCACTGTTAGTCTGCTGTCAATATTTCCAATCTTCTCTCTTTGTTTACCTTCTTCTTCGATTTTTTGGAATCTCTCATCATACTTCGCCATCATTTGTTGAATATTTTCCACTTTTTCATCGGTCTTCCCTGTTCTTTGTTCGATGTTCTCTATTCTTTGTTCAATCAGTATCTGATTTTATCTTGGATTCCTTGCATAATCATCTGTAAAGTCACTTTTTCTTGTTCTTTATCTTGCTTTAACATTGCCTGGATTAAACGTTGTCCTCCAGATGGTGGGGAGGCAGAAGTAGAGGTAGAGACGCCAGAAGGTATGAGTTTCCAACTCATTTTAAACTTTAATCCAATTGGTAAAGTAGCCAATTATAATCCAAAATGGAAAAGCCCAATAGTAAAAAGCCCAATGGTAAAAAGGAAAAAGAAAAGAAAAATTCTTCGGGTTCTTCTGGACCCTAATCCAATTATGAAATAATCCACAATAAAGGATAAAAATAAAAAGAAGGAAAAAGCCCAATGATAATTTAAAAAAAGAACAAAAGAAAAGAAAATTTTCTTCAGGTTCTTCACACTTTAATTCAGTTAAAAAATCTCAATAAAAAAAAAACCAAAATAGTCCAAGAACATGGATGGAAAAAGCAAAAATCCCAGTGGAAAAAGGGAAAAAAAGAAAAAGGAGAAAAATTCTGAGGCTTTCCCTTTAAAATAAAAAGCAAAAATAAAAATATTGCTAAAATAAAAGTTTACAGTAAAGCTGGTAAGGAGCAGTAGCACAACTAAAAGAAGATAAGAAAACACACTGCACTTTGTTTAATTGTCCAAGGCTCTTATTATGACTCTCTTCTCCACAAGCTTCAAAGCCAAACTTCAAGTGTTAAATTGTTGATAGAAGTCCAGAAGAACATCTGTAATAATATTCTGCCACGCTCTTCCCTCTTATCTTATCAAGTTGAAATGTCCTTGAGAAGGAGTCTTTCACAGTTCTCTCCACTTCAAGTAAAATATTTTCAAGCCTCTAGTTAGCAGTGTTACAAAGTTTCTTAATTCTCACTTTGCCCCTCCTCCCAGGAAAACGTAATTGAGATTAAAAAAGAAGAGAAAATATATGCATGTATATATAAAAAGAAAAGTAACCAAAGGGAGCCTCTAGTCTAAAAAAAAAAATTAAGAAATCAAGAAGGAGAATAAGAAAGTAAATATATATATAAAAGAAAGTTCAGTCCGGTTAACTGCTAAGTCACAATAAAGTCCAGTAAAAAAAAAGAAAAAAGAGTAAGGAAAAAAAAGCCAAGCCTCACTTTGACGTCTCCCTTTAAAAGTCGCTGCTTATTCAGTTTTGTCAAAAATCTCACAGGTTTCTTCTTATACTCAGAGTGTCCTTTCAAGTCTCAAAATGTTAGTAAAAAAAGGATTCTCACCCAGCCGACACACTTTCTCTTTCAGCCTCTTCCTTTCCAGAGCTGTCCTGACTTCAGCAGCTTTGGGGCTGCCTCTCCACCGCTGGCAAAAAGGACTTCTCCTGGATCAACTAGGGACTTTGCGGTGTCCCTGAGATCCACAGGATATGCCCTTTACGATCACTGTCTCTGTGGGATGGTTAGGTCCGTTTGGACCGGCCAGGGGCGAAGATATCGGCTGCAATCTTAGAGCTCAATTGCAGACCGTACCGTTGCGACGCCAGCTCCTTCTTAACTTGTTATTTGAAGCTCTGTGAGTTCTCTGCTGCTGGAGGTTTTAAGGAGAGACTATAGGATCTAGAGGATGGTTTGACTGATTTTTTACCTCCCCATTGCAGAGGATAGGACTGACATGCTGGCTGGGGAATTCTGGGAGTTGAAGTCCACATACCTTAAAACTGCTTTTAGAATTGAGAAACGTTGCCTTACACGATCTTAGTGGCCCCTTCCAACTCCACAATTCAATAATTCTACACGTTTCCGTCATGAACGTTAAAAAAAATAAAACAAGCGAGCTTGTAAATGATTCTTATTGTCGACTTTATTCTAACAACCCGATTTTCCATCATCTAGGTTGCAGTGGTGGATACACAAAGCTGAAAATAAATCCAGTCAACCTTGGTGGGAATTCTTGGGAGTGAAGCATTCAGGACTCCGGCCAAAAGACAAACCCTAATTGCGAATTGCAGCACAACTACTTTCAGGAATCGGCAAAAGAACACAAAATGGTAATTATCAGACTCACCTGGCTTTTCTTTAAGCTTCTAAACTAACTTTTAGCATTTGAGCATCAATCTTTGTTTACTCAAAGGCACCACACAAAGAATGCTCCCTCTTCCCGTTTTCTGCCCCACAACAATCTTGGGAGGTAGGCTAGTTTGACAGTGAGTGGTCCAGAGTCCCCCCACGAGCACCTGGCAGGGCTGTGGTGGCACAGTGGTTAGAGTGCAGTACTGCAGGCTACTTCTGCTGACTGCCGGCTGCCTTGGCAATTCAATTCCCACCAGGCTCAAGGTTGACTCAGCCTTCCATCCTTCCAAGGTGGGTAAAATGAGGACCCAGACTGTTGGGGGCAATAGGCTGACTCTGTAAACCGCTTAGAGAGGGCTGTGAAGAGGTATGTAAGTCTAAGTGCTAACCGTCACCACCCTCTTTTAATGACCCATAATCCCTTGCGGAGTAGAGTCTGAGCAACTGAATGTAGCTGAGTGTTTACTGGCCGGATGCCCTTCCTGTCACCAATGCACAGTTTTATTCAGCAGATATATTCTCAGTGTGCCTAGAGAGAGAAATATCTGCCTCTAATTTGTGGCTGAGATAGAAAGTAAAGTTGGATCCTGCCCTAACCTAAACCCTCAATTGGCAAATCTGAAAATATCTGCCTACTTTTTTTTTTTTAAGTTAAATATGTAATTGAAGCTGGGACAAGTAACGGATGCTCACTCTGTGATGCGCGACGCTAGGGATTCGAGCCGCCGAACTGCCGACCTTTCTGATCGACCAGCTCAGCATCTTAGCCACTGAGGCCCCGCGTCCCTATAATCATATGTGGTGGACTTTTGCAAAAGCAAAAAAAATAAAAGATTGGGCAAAGATACATAGGTGAAAAGATGTTGAGGGAAACATGTAGATTTTAAACCTGAACTGAACCCCCCGCCTCTTATGCATGCGTGCACAATACCAACCCACCCACACAGCCCCCTTACCTGCACTGCGTCTCACAGCTGATTTTCAGCTGGTTTGAGGCCATTTTCGTCCTCCCAGAGGCTTTAGGAAGGCTTCTGCAAGCTTTTCAGGTCAAAAACTAGGCCCATTTTGTCACTTCCGGTATTTCCAGAAAAACAGGAAGTGATGAAACGTGCCTATTTTTTGTCCTGAAAAGCCTGCAGAAGCCTGCAGAAGCCTTCCTCAAGCCTCTGGGAGGCCAAAAAAAGGCCTCAAACTGGCTGAAAACCAGCTGTGAGGTGCACACATGCGCAGTGAGGTAAGTTTGCCTGCAGCTCACACGCCGGCACAAATGGCTCTGTGTGCCACCTGTGGCATGCATGCCATAGGTTCGCCATCAGGGTACTAGACTGTGCAGAAATGGATCGATCGACACGGAAAATTAAACAGAATATTATCAAACATGGAATCTATTTTGCCAATGGTTGGGAAAAAGGGCTGGAGCTTTAAGAATGTAAATTTGTATTGTTAAGCACATTAAATACCCAGAACAACAAGATGTTTATGAAGCACTAAGGAATGTATTTAATAGAAAATCAATTAAAAAAAACCCCCGAAGTTGCCCGATTCTGCGGTTAAGGGGATGGGTGCAAGGCAGGTTGAGTTCCTTGAGTCTGGCTGAATTTCTCTGTGCTTGTAGGAGTCTAGAAGTCCAGATTGCTCCAACGCCACCCAGTCTTTCTGGGACTCTGAACTGGGACTCCTGCGTGTCATCATCAAGGAGGAAGATGACAGTGAAGAGGCCCTTCCGTCAGGTAAAAGAGGAATAGGTCAATAACGGATAATGGAGGGGTCTTGAAATTGCCCTGAAATTCCGTTCTGGACCAGGCTTACTTTTAGCTCCCTTGTGGGTTCTGTGGTCCATTTCCCTTGTTATCTATTGATAACCCAACAGGAATTCTCAGCAGCCGGGATGTTCGTCCTGTGACATCACAACAGCTCAGTCACGGTGTCTGGGACTGCCTTGCAAAGTACAGGCAGTCCTCAACATACGACCACAATTGAGCTCAAAATTTATGTTGTGAAGCGAGACATTTGTTCAATGAGTTTTGCCCTATTTTTCGACCTTTTTCTTTTTTTTTAAAAAAAAAGTTTTTTATTTTATTTTGACAAACATTCCATCTTTTCTTGAAACAGTGTATCTTCTGGGTTCAAATATCTTGTGTGGTAATATTTATGGTTCATACAATTTCCTTACCATAATAACAATAATCACATTGTATCCAATTAACTGTATACAATTACATTGTGTCTACCTCAGAGGGATACAATCGAGATCAAGGGAGGTACTAATACCACTCTGTAAAGCCTTAGCAGGACCACACCTAGAGTACTGCATCCAGTTTTGGTCACCACACTATAAAAAAGAGGTTAAGACTCCAGAAAAAGTACAGAGAAGAGCAACCAGGATGATCAGGGGACTGGAGACTAAAACATATTACAGGAACTGGGACTGGCTAGTCTAGTGAAGAGAAGGACCAGGGGAGACATGATAGCAGTCTTCCAATATTTGAGGGGCTGCCACAGAGAGGAGGAAGGGATCAAGCTATTTTCTAAAGCACCTGAAGGCCAGACAAGGGATAATGGATGGAAACTGAACAAGGAGAGACTTAACTTGGAAATAAGGAGAAACTTTATGACAGTGAGAACAATCAACCCATGGAACAGCTTTGCTGTCGGAAGTTGTGGGAGCGCCATCACTTGAGACTTTCAAGAAGAGATTGGATTCCCATCTGTCAGAAGTGGTGTAGGGTCTCCCGCTTGGGCGGGGGGTTGGACTAGATGACCTACAAGGTCCCTTCCAACTCTGATTATCTGTGATCTGTTATGATGGCCCCTTTATGACTTGGTGGGTGTTCTCAGCCAAGACCGTCACCTGAACGGCTGTATAATAGAGAAAAACTATTGAAGCCCTGACCTGATTAAGCATGTTGGGTGAATCTAGCATGGATTTAAGAAGCTTCCTTATTCCTAAGCAACAGTTTGTACAAACTGCTTGCAACTCTTATCAATAAAGTTGACCTTGTACCATATTCACTCTTTTTATTTATTTACTTCTCAAACCACGCAGACATCCCTTGTGGGTTCAATTGGAACTTAGCTTGGAATTTTAGACTTTCGCCAAGTGATTAGAAAGTTGTTTACCTTATGATTTTTTTTTCATTATGCTGAACATTGCGTGCGAAAGATAAGCCTGAAATGTTTTACATTCTTTTTTTTTTTCCTCCTGAAGAAGACTGGATGGCCAGATCAACCACAGAGGAAGGTTTCCACCCCGAAAGCTTCACTTCAGAGCACCAGCTGAAACGTTCGCCAGGAAGTTCTCAAGACAATAATTTTCCTCCGGTGGAAGTGGGTGAGTGTAATAAATATCTACCCTCTTGTGAGCCTAGCCAAGAGACCAGCTCTCTGTCCTTTTCGAACTCATTCTCATGTCCCAGGTTCGAAAAATTAGCTCTAGAGCCAGCGAGACTCACGAGAAGAAGCCAAGTAGAATAGAATAAAAATAGAAATAATAGAAACAGAAATAATAGAAACAACGTGGGGGTGGGATAATTGGAAGGGACCTTGGAGGTCATCTAGTCCAGGGGTCTCCAATCTTGCCCACTTTAAGACGTGTGGACTAAAATTCCCAGAATTCCTCAGCTAGGAAAGCTGGCTGAGGAATTCTGGGAGTTGAAATCCACACGTCTTAAAGTGGCCAAGGTTGGAAGCCCCTGTTCTAGTCCAACCCGCTACTTAGGCAGGAAACCCTATATAGCAATGGTGGCTAACATTTTGGGCTCCTGTGCGAAAAATTGTGTGCGCGCTTGCACACTTGCGCTCGCGTGCCAGCACCCAATAGGTGCGCTCCCCCCCCACGCCCTCTATGCATGTGCGCACAATTCCCCCTGCCACCCCCTTACCTGCACTGAGCCTCATAGCTGATTTTTGGCTGGTTTGAGGCCTTTTTTGGCCTCCCAGAGGCTTGAGGAAGGCTTCTGCGAGCTTTACAGGCCAAAAATTAGCCCTGTTTTGTCACTTCCTGCTCTTCCGAAAATACCGGAAGTGACGAAACGGGGCTAGTTTTCCGCCTGCAATGCTTGCAGAAGCCTGCAGAAGCCTTCCTCAAGCCTTTGGGAGGCCGAAAAAGGCCCCAAACTGGCCGAAAATCAGCTGTGAGGCGCGCGCACATGCTCAGTGAGGTAAATTTGCTGGCAGCTCATGTGCCGGTACAAAGGGCTCTGTGTTCCACTTGTGTCACACTTGCCATCGGTTCACCATCGCAGCCATATTCAGTAATATTAGTTGGATTCTTCCGATCATGGCCTGGGTTCCATCTTGGATTCAGACCAGCGTGGTTCGTTCTTGACTCAAAATGGTTGTGAAACTGATCACGGTGTCAGATGAGATGTCTCCAGTTCCAGCTGTAGTTCTGGAAGGTAACTTAGCCATCCAATCTTTGCTTGAGAGTTTCTATGATGGGAGTTTCCTATACAGGTAGTCCTCAACGTGCGACCGTAATGGAGCCCTGCCCATTATGGTCATATGTTGTAACAGTCACGACAAATGGAATTTTATTACCTTTCTTGCAGGAGTTGTTAAACAAAGGCTTGGCTGTAAGAGCCGTGAAACAAAACACTATTGTCGTCAAGCCAACCAATAATTCACTATAGGCACAGTTTTGCGAAAAGCTGGGACTGTAAATCCAGTCATGTCTCACACTGCCCGAAATTTGACCCTGTGACTGTGGAGGGGGGCCTCCAAACTGTCAGAACTTTGAAACTGGGGTCATAATTTTCTGGTCGGTTGTAACTCAAGAACTACCCAAGAAGAAAATGGCGTTGAAGGCCAGGAGAAGGAAGAGGAAGAGGCTGCAGTGGTCAGATAAAGGGGACATGAGCCCTGACCAAGAAAGTAATTTGTGAAAACGTTTTGGGCAACCCCTTCCCTGTTTCTTACAAAAGATAAAAGGTGGGAGAAGGAAGCCCAGCAAGACTTGGCCGATGATGTTATTGAAGGTCCTTGGTTGTCTCTGAGCTTGGTGGTTTTCTTGCAGACGTTTCAGTACCCAACTAGGTAACATCATCAGTGCTAGCAAGGATTTAACAGACTTAACAGATGACTTAACAGATTAACTGAGTTGGAAGGGACCTTGTAGGTCATCTAGTCCAACCCCACACCCAAGCAGGAGATCCTACACCATTTCTGACAGAGGGCAGTCCAGTCTCTTCTTGAAAGCCTCCAGTGATGAAGCTCCCACAACTTCGGAAGGCAACTTCTGTTCCATTGGTTGATTATTCTGTCAGAAAGTTTCTCTTTATTTCTAGGTTGAATTTCTCCTTGTTCAGTTTCTATCCATTATTTCTTGTCTGACCTTCGGGTGCCTTGGAAAATAGATTGATCCCCTTCCTCTGTGGAGCAGCCTGTCAAATATTGGAAGACCGCTATCCTGTCTCTCCTGGTCCTTCTCTTCCCTAGACTAGCCAAGCCCAGTTCCTGTAACCGTCCTTCGTATGTTTTAGCCTCCAGTCCCCTAATCATCCTGGTTGCTCTTCTCTGCACTTTTTCTAGAGTCTCAACATCTTTTTTATCGCGTGGTGACCAAAACTGGATGCAGTACTCTAGGTGTGCTCTTACGTAGGCTTTATAGAGTGGTATTAGTACCTCCCTTGATCTGGATTGTATCCCTCTGTTAATGCAATTTAGGATTGCATTAAGACGAGGAAATCCAAACGTCTGCAAGAAAACCACCAAACTCAGAGCTACCAAGGGCCCCGCATGTCAACTCTGAGCTACAAAAATGCTTCTTGATTGGATTTTGTTTTACCGTAATGGTATTCGGTATTCCTGGCCTGTACGGGGTTGGCTTTTTAATCCGGTTATCTGACAGGCCAGCCCTTTTCCAGACTCCTAAGATTTGTTTTTTCGCCCCTCTGTATTCCAGCAGATAACATCCAGATTAAAGAGGAACCCACCGAGGTGTCCGTAACGATACTTGAGCACCCGAACACCGAAGGGATGAGCGCGAATAAGTGTGCCCTGTGCGGGAAGACTTTCAGTTGCAAGTCGGATCTCACCAGGCACCAGAGGACTCACACAGGTGAGAAGCCCTACCGATGTTTCGAGTGCGGGAAAAGCTTCAGCCGAGGCGATTATCTGATTCTGCATCAAAAGCTTCACCGGGGGGAGAAACCGTACAAGTGCTCCGAGTGCGGCAAGGGCTTCTACCGAAGCACCCGGCTGATTTCCCATAAAAGGGTCCACCTGGCCGAGAAACTGTACAAGTGTTTCCGTTGCGGCAAGAGCTTCGGCGACGAGGCCAAGCTCGCCCAACACAAGCAGGCCAAGCACACGAACGAGAGGCCGCACACCTGTGCCGAGTGCGGCAAGAGCTTCCGACGGAGCACCCACCTCACCCGCCACCTGAAAATCCACACCCGCAAAGCCCGATATCGCTGCCTGCAGTGTGAGAAGACCTTCACTTGTCGAAAGCATCTCCTGTCCCACGAACGGACTCACACGGGGGACAAGCCGTACAAGTGCCTGGATTGCGGCAAGCGGTTCAGTTTCAGCGGGAACCTCGCCTCGCACCTGCGGATGCATACGGGGGAGAAGCCCTACTTGTGCCTCGAGTGCGGGAAGAGCTTCAGCCGGAGTGCCCACCTCACGTTGCACCAGAGGACCCACACCGGGGAGAAGCCGTACACCTGCCTGGAGTGCGGGAGAGCCTTCAGCCAGAGCAGCAACCTCACGTCCCATCAGCGCATCCACACCGGGGAGAAGCCCTACGAGTGTCCCATCTGCGGGAAACAGTTCTCACGGGGCGACTCGCTGGTCTCGCATCAGAGGATCCACGCTGCGGAAATTGTCTGATCCGGGGTTTGAATGGCGTTTGACGCAACAGAGTCTCCCTCTCTCTCTCTCTCTCTCTCTCTGCAATAAGCTTCAATGGCGAAGGGGGAAAAATGGAGAGAAAAAAGCTGACTCTCGCTTCATGTCCAATAATCAAGCGTGCTTCTGAAGCTTCTTCATTATCGTCTTTCGAGCTTCTCAAACGGTGGCGGTTGTCCCAAAGTTGCTTTTCTCCAAAAGGGCAACTGGACTTCTTTGGGTTTTTTTTTTTTTTTTTACCCTTGAAAACATTTTGCTTCTCATCCAAGAACTTCAGAGTAGGAAGTTCTTCAAAAACAGAAGCTTCTTGGATGAGAAGTGAAATGTTTTCAAGCGGGGGGAAAAATACCTCCCAAGGAAGTCCAGTTGTCGTTTGGAAAAACACCTTTGGGACTTCTTCATTTGTTACCGTACATGGACGAACAGACTTAGAAATCAAGGGTAGAGTATCATATGTTATCAAGGAGGGGTTGTCAAACTCAAGGCCCCGGGGGTGTGTGAGGTGGATCCGGCCCGAGGGGTGCTTAGATCTGGAAACAGCAAAGAATTGGCCTGTGGTGCTGCTGCCAGCAAAAATGGTGCCCACAGCCCTCCCGATCTCCATTTTCTCTGGCAGAGAGTTGCAGGATGCCGTCGCAGCGGAAAACGGAGCTCGCGAGAACTGTGGGCTCCGTTTACACTGGCAGAGTGTTGCAGGAAGCCGTCACAGCCGAAAATGGAGCTCGGGAGCCTGCGTTTGCTGACGGAGTGCTCAGTCCATCCCTGACACGAGTGGTCGAGCTGGCCATGCCCACCCTGGCCGCACCCCCCGCTACTTCCCCCTGAGGTCAAACCAGAGGTGGTATTCAGCAGGTTCTGACCAGGTCTGGAGAACCGGTAGCGGAAACTTCGAGTAGTTCAGAGAACCGGCAAATCCCACCTCTGACTGGAGAGTTTACAGTATCCTTCCCCTGCCATGCCCACCAAGCCACACCCACAGAACCGGTAGTAAAAAACATTTGAATCCCACCACTGGGTCAAACAAAACCCTGATGTGACTTTCAACCAAATCAAGTTTGACACCCCTGTTACAGTGGTATATAAAAATCCAAGCCACGGCCTGCGGGATCCGACTCCAGGGCCTATCTTCTTTCCCCGAGGAAGCCCTCAGGTCTCGCACAAGATGGCCTTCAGAGGCAGCCATGCTGCTGTCAAGGCTTAAGAGCTTTCGTTCAGAGATTTAACTCTCTTCACAGATGCTCTGCAGTAGACCATCCTGAGGAGGAGCGTTCTGTCCTGCGTTCTGTCCTAGGCTTCACCCCCAAAGCACTAAGCAAAAATCTGTGTCCCGGCAAAACCTCTTTTATTATATGAGTGCGAGTTTATTGCATTCACATTCAGCCAACAGTCTGGCAAACTGTCTTGCAAGGGTGTAACTATTAGCTCAGACCTTTATCTATCTTGGAAAGCTGCCCGGCAAATATTTCCACACACAGTGCTGAAAGGGAAGGGCTGGGCACAGAGACTCTAGGTCAGTGATGGCTAACCGTTTTGCTGGGGTGTGCGAAAGCGTGTGCATGCTGATACCCACAATGCAATGCACCCCGCCCCCCCCCCAGCACATACGTGCACAACACCCCTGCCTTGCACCCTTACCTGCGCTGCGCATGCGCGCGCCTCTCAGCTGATTTTGGGGCCGTTTGAGGCCGTTTTCGCCCTCCTGGAGACCCGAGGGAAGCTTCTGCAGCCTTGGGAGGCTGAAAACGGGCCCGTTTTGCCACTTCTGGTATTTCCAGAACGCCCGTTTTTCGGCCTCCTGAGGCTGCACAGGCTTCCCTCAAGCCTCCGGGAGGGCGAAAACAGCCTCAAATGGGCTGAAAATCAGCTGGGAGGCGTGTGCATGCGCAGTGCAGGTAAATTTGGCTGGGGGTCATGTGCTATAGGTTTGCCATCACGACTGTAGGTTATACAGACAGATCTTCACGAGGCTGGAATAAATGAACAAACAAGTTGTTTCCTGCAAAAGCCCCCTCCCCTTTTTCTCCCCTTTTAATCCTTATGGGAGGGGCCATTCATTGTCCATCCATGGCCTTACTCCCACGTCGACCCTGAGTTCTTAATTGTGCCTTTCTTTTGGCAGCTCTGCGCATGTGCAGGCTGGGAACCGGTTCCAGAAGCTCCCCCACCTCACTGCTGTCCAAGCCCGAAAGCAGCTGATGACTGCCAGCCTGTCTGGGCCCCATCTCTGCCTCTGACGCAGAGCCCTCAGCCGAGTCTTCCTCAGCCTCCAGGAATGTCTCGGGTACCTCCCCAACCAGGAATGGGATTCTCCCAGTTCACACCTATTCACTAGAACCGGTTGTTAACATTCTAAGCAGTTTGGAGAACCAGTTGTTAGAAGAAATTACTGGCCTAATCCTGTAAGGAAGGCAGGAAGGAAACATTCTAGTGTTGCTTACAGAAACTGCCTCTCCGTTAACCGTTATTACATTCTTGGCAGGACTAGACTTCCTGTCTCAGGAACTTCTCTGGAGTTTTTTTCCCCTCATTTGCTGGTATTTTGCTTGTGCGGAGTGACCATTCAAAGTTACAATGGCACTGAAAGAAGTGACTTATGACCATTTTTCACACTTAATGACTGTTGCAGCATCCCTACAGTCATGAGAGGCCAGGCGAGGAGATGCGTGCCTCGATCTGAGTGATATTGAGTTGGCCACACCCGGCCAATAACATGACCACCAGGCCACACCCACCCGGTCACACGATCACCAAGCCACGCCCACCAACTAAACCACACCCACAGAACCGGTTGTTAAAAAATTTGAATCCCACCCTTGTCCCCAACTTGACTACTGTCCGCCAGCTGCCAGCAGGCCACAACATCTTGAGCAACTTTGTATCTATCAATTACCATCTGTTCAAATGTTATCTTAAGAACCTAAAACTGCCCTGTTGGCTTGAGATCTTTGGCCCATCTGACCTCACCATTTGTTCTCCCAGTTGGCCCACCAAAACACCCAAGGGTGAACCACTGATCTCCCAGCTGATGCCATCCAGACTAAGAGCCATAATCCACAGCGACTAACAGATAACAGATAATCAGAGTTGGAAGGGACCTTGTAGGTCATCTAGTCCAACCCCCCCACCCCAAGCAGGAGACCCTACACCATTTCTGACAAATGGCGGTCTAATCTCTTCTTGAAAGCATCTAGTGATGGCGCTCCCACAACTTCCAAAGGCAACTTCTGTTCCATGGGTTGATTGTTTTCACTGTCAGAAAGTTTCTCCTTATTTCCAGGTTGAATCTCTCCTTGTTCAAGTTTCTATTTATTATTCCTTGTCTGGCCTACGGGTGCTTTAGAAAATAGCTTGACCCCTTCCTCCTCTCTGTGGCAGCCCCTCAAATATTGGAACGAGGTAGGTAAGAGACTCTTATGCCCCAAATCTCTTCGAACCCAGAGATACTCCATAGTGTTTGTATTTTTTTTCTTTTCTTTTTGTGGGTAATTCAAAATCTTGTTCTTTGTAAAAGGGGGTGAGGGGGGATATATAGCTTTGTCCTTTCCCACCAGGTTGTATGTCATATATTTGTAGCAAAGGATGAGACTGGCTCATTGTCCCAGAAACCATTTTGCAGTCCTAGGGGATTTTAAAAAGCAAACCAACCAACATCCAAATGTTACACAATCTAAAGTTGGACTGATGCATGTTAAAAGGACTTTAATTAACTAGGTGATGCTTTGTTCTTAATAAGCGGAGATCTGCGGATGTTAATTTGAAAAATCCTCCTTGTTGATCTTGAAGGAAGAATCCAGAAGTGATCGCTGGATTCTTGTGGAGAGTGATGGAACTTGGTTGAAAATATGGAATAAAACATTATCTTTATTGGATTACATATATATATCCCACCGTCTTCCCAAGGAGACCGAAACAAGACATCCCTTTCCCCTGCTTTCTGGGATTTTGTTGTTCTTCTTAAATCTCCCACAACATCCCTGACAAGGTAGGCCAGACACTGAGAGAGAGAGAGAAAAGGGGACTGACAGGAAAAGTGCTTTCTTTTCGGAAATGGTTGTGGGGATTCCTTGCTTTCCGGGTCCGGCGTCGTCATTCTAATCTCCATGTGAACCCAACCTTGATTTGAGATCCTTTTACCCTGTCCTGGACAGAAATGAATTTGAATCCAAACCGTAAGAGTTGAAAGGGACCTCCAGAGGTCCTTTAGTCTGACCCCCCCCCCTTTGCTCCAAGCTGGATGGGAACATCTCTGACAGATGACCTCTAAAGACCTCCAGTGAGAGAGAGACCCCATTTTTTGGAGGAGGGGGGAGACTTCCATTGCCTGACAGGAGGCAAGAGGCTGTGATCCCATAAACCTAACTGTGAAGGGAATGTCTCTCCTAATAACGGCATCACTATTTGGTCAATTCTAAGTCACATTTCAGCCTGCTTTCTAGCTTCCAAAGGTTTGAAAACCTATCCTGTCCCCCTGCCAGTCCTCCATTTCATTCATTTCTTCATTTCCCCTAGTGCTCAAGGCAACCAACGTGGTTCTCTTCTTTGCACCGCCAGTTGTACAAGGAAGACCGGGGTGGGAAGCGGTTGTGTGCTTCACGCTTAAGAATTCGACCCTTGATTTCCTCCCAAAACAGAAATGTCTTCAAGGACTGATGTGTTTCTAGAACTGCTGTGATCCGCAAAGCATTTTGAAGATGTTCTCTGAGTGGATCCCACAATCCCATGAAGAAGAGGATTGGTTTTGGATCAGTTTCTCTAGCGGGGAAAAAAAAATATATATATATATATACTTGCTGATGGAGGCAGACCTGAAAAACCAGGTTGAGGGGAATCAGTCATGGAGAAAATCCAACAATTTGAAGGCCTAAGTCTCAATCAACATAATGGCTCTAAAAAATTGCATGTCCACATATTTCATGTCCGTCTCAAGAAGACGGAGGGCATTTAGCAGTCCGTCTTTATACCGTTGTCTTAATCCAGTGTTATTTCACTACAAGGAAGGGGCTGGGCTAGATGATCTCCAGAATCCCTTTCCTTCTCTGAAACCTATAATCCTCCTCCTTTCTCCATGCTGTTTAAGATAAAACAAAGTCCAGGGGACTTTCCTGGTTTTATTATATTATTACCATTCTTGTAATTGTAATTCTATTATCTATCCTGAAGGCAGAGCTCTACAGAATGAAGCGCTTAAATTTGTAACTTTTCATTGATCTTAGCAGCTTTTCTCTAAACCATGTACTTATGAATTGATAAATAAAACAGAATCAAAATGTAGTCCGTTTGGGAGATTATTTTTTGTTAAAACGACTGCTGAAATTATCCAAACGTCACTTCATCCGATCATAACATGATTTAACTTGTTCCGTGCCCTGGGGACCCAGTGGTTAGCATGCAGTATTGCAAGCTAATTCTGCCCACTGCCAGGAGTTTGATTCTCACCGGCTCAAGGTTGACTTCAGCCTTCCACCCTTTCGAGGTCGATAAAACGAGGACCAAGATTGTTGGGGGGGCAATAGGCTGACTTTGCAAACCACTTGGAGTGTGCTATAAAACAGGGGTCGCCAACCAGTGGGCCGGGGACCACCGATGGTCCATGAGAAAATGTTGGCGGTCCGCAGAGAAATGTCACCCCCAAAGCAATTAATCCAGGCTGCGCGGGAACACAAAGCTGGACCGCCCACATGGCCTGTGGGAACACAAGGCTTGCGTCGCTTGCATTGCGAACACCACGAGGTAGTGAGGGGAGGTGGAAAAGGGAAGAGGGGAGGAACTTGCCCCGCGCACCTCGCCTGGCCACCGGGCTGCTTCTTTCCGCTTCTTTCTTCTGCTTTTGGCTGCATGCAAGGAAAGCAGCAAAAATCTTTCTTTCTCTCCCCACAAACTCTGTCAGAAATGAGTCTTTGGGACCCTGCAAGGTATCCTGCTCCAAGAGGCTGCGCTGGCGCAACAAGTCTCAGACTCATTTCTGGCGGAGTTTGGATAGAGACTTCTGCTGCTTCTGCTGCTTTCCTTGCATGAAGCCAAAAGTCTCTCTCTCTCTCCCCCGAGAACAGAGCCGGAGACAGTATCCTGCAATCCCAAACAAAGAATGATCGATCAGTAGGAAAACAGGGTGGGGAATTTTCCTGCAGACTCTTTGGGGGATGTTCCCAGGGTCTCTGGTCTGCGGGATTTAAAATTACGAGTTTGATGCTCCAAAAGGGTGGCGACCCCTGCTATAAAGCACTTTGTATATAAGTCTTAAGTGCTATCGCTACATGAATGGGGCTAGTGATGGACCAGAAACCATTCCTGTGAGTTTT